TGGTATTCGGGGCCAGCGGGAACCGAGAGGAGAAAGGGGATGAGCAGCAGCCTGAAGATGCGAATGCGCAGGAGGACGGGGAAAAACGGGGCCTGGAGGAAAAGGAGGAGGATGCAGAAGCGGAGGGGGGGGTGAGGTGCACTAGTGGAAAATGAAGACGCTAAGGACAGAGCGGAGGAGAAAACACTGTGACGTCCTTCCCCTCCTCCTCGCCCTGCTCCCCCCCTTTTCCTCCTCGAGCTTGTTTTTTTTTTTTTGGGGGGGGGGTAACGCCCGTTACGGGGGGGGGGGTCGGCCCCAAGTTGGGGGTAACGGTAACGCGCGGCGGGGCCCTCGCACGGGCCCTGGGATTTATTACCAGCACAACTGTCGGCACGGTAGGCTTCGTCGTCGTCGTCGTCATCGTCGTCGTCACCGCTGTCGTCGTCGTCGAAACCGACCGTGCCTGTGCACACTACGCAGGCTTTGTACACCGCGATGCCTTTGTACACCACAGCTGCGGCAGAAATGGTATGTGTGTGCACCACGGCGACTGAACACATCATGACAGGCGGGTGCACCACAGCGCCCTTGTGCACCACAGCTGCTGTTTCAGCGCCCCGTGTTTGCACCAGAATGCCAGCGCACACCACAAAGCTTGTGTACACCTGTAAGGTACCGGCGGAACGAAAGTCCAGAAGATCGTTCGGGGCCCAACCGTGGCCCTTTAATTATGTGAACTGCTTGTGGATCTTTGTTTTTCTGGTTCAAAAAGCGTTCGGACTTGTTGACCCCACAAAGCCTGTGTACTCCATTGCGACCGTGTACATCATGGGAGTGTGAACCGTGGGGCCTGTGTATACCACATGGCATGTGTGAACCACAAAGCTTGTGTGCGGCTCTTTTTGTGCGGAGTGTAAACCACGCGCCGTGGGGGCGCGCGGGGCGGCGGCAACCTAAGGAATACAGGAAGCGGGAGCTCCCCGCACAGGCACAAGGCCCTTGAGGCATGGGTCGACGGCTGGAGCGTGCACGCGGGTGCGTCGTCGTCGTCGCCGTCAGTTGCGACGGCGACCAGGGGGGCGACGGCGGCGGCGGCGGCGGCGACACGGGCGGCGGCGACGGCGACCACGACGACGACGACGACGACGACGACGACGGCGGCGGCGACGGCGACGACGCCGACGGCGGCAAGCGGCGGCGGCGGCGGTGAAGGTGGCCGCCGCCGCCGTCACCGCCGTCGTCGTCGCCGCCGATGCCGCCGTCGCCGTCGCCGCCGCCGCCGCCGTGTCCGCAGCCAGTTGCCGAAAGCTTCAGCAGCGCTTGGGGCCCATTTGCTGGATACACATGCGGGGGGCTGGCGTGACCAGCCGCGCGAGGTAAGAGGGCCGAGCGCTGGAAGGACATACGGCCACATCCGCGTGCAGGTCTCGCCCAGTCCATCCCCTTGCACCAGCACAGGGAGAATGGAGGAAGGACAGTGGTAGTAGTCATGATGATACTGTGAGAGTGCACCGGCTGGTTGCGACATGGCTTGTCCGATGCGTTGCACCACACGTTGTGCTTGCGTACAATTACCTGCGCCATAGGTTGAGCCGCAAGCTGCGCCATAGGATGCGCCCCCAGGGCGTGCCATAGCTTGCGCCATAGGTTGCGCACCCAGGGCGCCCCACAAATCGCGCCTGACGTTGCGCCTTAGGTTGCGCCCTCAGGGCGTGCCATAGGTTGCGTGGTGGTTGCGCCACAGGTTGCGCCAAAGGCGGGGCCACTTTGTGGCGCTGCGTTTCGACGGAACTCCTGGTGCGCGCACTGTTCGGGGAAACGTCGTGCTGGCAGGCGGGCGTCGGGACTCCGATCCTCCATCCTCCTCCTCCCCCTCCTCTTCTGCCCCCTCCTCCTCCTCATGCCCCTCCTCCGATCCCCCATCACCTCTTCCTCCGATCCTGTTCCAACCCTCCTCGTCCTCCTCGTCCTCCTCATCCTCCTCCTCCTCCTCCCTCTGCCTCGCTCCCCCCCCCCAGGAGGTGAGAGGAGGTGGAGGGCACGAGCACTGGAGGGAACGCAGAAGCAAGGCAAAGGCGGTGGAGGGGCCAGGCCGGAACCCGTTGAAAGGTTCGCGCCGAGGGATGCGAACCTCGAACCTCGAGGATCGAGGCATCCTGGCCCTCGAAGGCCTTCGTCGTCGCCACGGCTGGACGCGGCTCGGGAAACTGGTGCGTCTGAGCCCCAGTCGGGCCCCGTGGACCCATTTTGAGTTTGCGCCGAGGTTCGAACCTCGAACCTCGAACCTCGAACCTGAGCACACATGTGAGCGTCACAGCATGCCTGCCTGGACGGAAAAAGGTCCGCACCCCGGTCCCCGTACGCTCGTTACCGTTACGGGGGGGGGACCCCCCCCCGTAACGGGCGTTACGGGTCCGAGCAATAAAAAAACAAGCTCCTCCTCCACCTGTGGCAATCCAATCGCTCAGCCACTTCGCTCGCACGAGCTTTAATAACGAATCATCGAACGATGTGGCAAAACATCTCCGGAAAACAAAAAGGAAACCCAACAAAAGGCGCGCAACATACGATGTGTAAAGATGTGCCGTAGCGCCGCAATTCACCCGGCAGGTCCTCTCTTGGCCTGCCGCAAGCCTGTATGTTAAGGATGCACGGGCATGCCGGACAAGCGAAAGCGGCCAAAGATGGGCCGAAGGGGAAGGAAACTTGGGCACAGTGGAGGCTGGTCCACACGAAACCTTCCACATGAACCCCAACCCTGAGACCCCAGGACGTTCATTGAGCTTTGATGTGGGAGCGTCGCGTTCTCCATCGCAAAACCATCGAAAACCAAGAAGCCCAGGGCACCCTGGAGGCAAGCAGGGGCGTTTCTTGGCATGGGTTTCCACCGTACCCTTGGAGAGTCGTTCATCCTTGCTGTGCGGGTTGTCCCCCCCGCAGGCCCTCCGCTGGCCCAGCCTGTCTCCCCAAGGGGCCACCTCGACTCCTCCGGACACGGGACTTCGGAACGCGGGCGGCATCTTTCGGGGGGCGAACGTCCGAGGCGGCGGCGCCTTGTCTAGGGGGGGCCCGGGACACGCAAACACATCCGCCGACCCTGTCGGCGTGTGGAAAAGGCTGCTCCGTTCGACTCGCCTTCGTCGACGTCGTCGTCGTCGCCGTCGCCGCTCGCCCTGTTTTCCTGGGCCCGTCGCTGGCCCTCCCCTTCTCCTGGGCCCGCCTCATGCGCACCAACCGACACAAAATTTCACAACGTCGTAATAAAGCCGAAGAGAAACCCCTTCCTTGTGATAGTTTGAAAGGGGCTGGAAAGCCCAACCAACAGCTTCACCTTAGGCGAAGCCAAGCTTTCGCTGTGCTGTACCGCAAAAACGATAGTCCCACTAGTAGGGGGCGAGCCATCTCAAGCAGTTTTGGTGTCGATGGCAAATCGTGTACACCTCGCGGTGAGGTGTAGTCAGATCTGGGCGGCTGGCCGCTTTGAGCCAAGCAGCCGAGGATGCACGCTCGTTCCCATTCACTTGCAATGCCCAGCTCACTTTAGAGTCGGGGGGGGAGGGAGACGAGGCGTGAACCCGCCGCCTCTATACAGACGAGACAGCAGCGCCCATCTACAAAAAGGGCAACAAAAGGGCGGGGCCGTAAGGAAGGTGGACCCGCAAGCAAGATGCGTTGCCTGCACTATTCTGTGCATACAGATACTCCTCAGGGGGCTACAGAACGGGATGTCTGGCCAGCCCGATACGGAGTATCTCTCTGACGATGCTCCCCTTGGTGTGACCGTCCGCAGTCATATCGCGGGTGTCGCACCGCTGAATACTGCGCACGATCCCTCGCTCCATCATCTGTCGCATCCAGCTGAGGTGTCGTAAAAGGGTACACGCAGTCGGCTTCTTTACGTTTTTGCTTGGCAAGGGCTTTAAAAGCAGACTCAGCATCTATTGTCAAAATGACCTTGATGCTCAGGCCACCCAACTCGAATATGTCTTTCAACGGAGTGGGAGTTAGCGGCCCTGCGTGGAGCTCGGGCAGAGTCGCGACCGTGGGATAACAGTCCTCGAAGTTGCGGGCAGCTGCTAGTGTCTCTGTTGAATAGCTCGAGCGGGCCTGCAAGCGGCGAGGCTTGCAGCGCGCATCGATCGAGTGGGCGACGGGCTTAGCAGATGGCGTGCTTCCGCGCCCCAGCATGTTTGCCCCTCGAATACCATATCCCTTGACTTCGTCGTCGGCGCCCCCACTCAGGCGTCGGTAACCTGAGTCACTGTGCAGGTCGACCTCGCCCGTAGGGGTCATCACCTGGCAGGCGATCTTCTTAGGGCAGGCCCGCGGTTTCCTGGCAATCGCGCTCAGTCGTCGCACTTGTAAATTCGTCGGTTCTTGGACGCGCTGTCGAGAAACAACGTGCACCATCAACCGCAACTGGGTGATTAATGCATACGCCAGCGCGCCTCTAAGGCTGACGAACATGTCTGCAACAATCTTGGGTGCCCGAGCGTCAGAGTCGGCGCCGGCCAGCTCAGGATGTTGCATTGGACGGAGCTGCTTGATGTATTCGTCTTGGTCCAAAGTAACGCTGCCGCCTTCACCCTTGGTATGCACCACAACACAATGCGTGCACGTGTGCTCGTTGAGTTTGCCCTTGCCAAAGGGGTCTTCTACGCGCTTGAATTACTCGTCAATGGTGTCCACATTTCTGGCCATATAGATTTCAGCGCCATGTTCGGCCGTAAGCATGTTGCTGCTCGTCTCGAACTCCTCGTCGTAGGACGAGGGTCTGAGACCACAGCCTCTTGTGGTCCTTCTGACTTTTAATGAGAAAGCTCGGGGTGCGTCTTTGGCGCCAGTGCCTGGTTCAAGGCGCTGCAAGCAATGCTTTGACTCGTCGCAGCGTTCGAATCCTGGGAGTGTTCGACGCACCGTGGCCGATCCAGGCGGCAAAGTAAAACGCGCCACGCGTTCTTTTTCACCAGTTGCCTCGGCAAGTTCCTGGTCGGTCAACCCTTCCAGGTAGGCGGCGC